TTGTAAGGATTTTTTTCCTATTAATAATGTAAAATTAACAAATGTACAAAAAGACTCATGTGAAGGCCAAATTACAGAGGAGGAATTCTTGATGCAATTAAAGCCTTTAAGTCCGGCAAAACTCCAGGGCTGGATGGCATACCAGTTGAGGTATACCAAACCTTTTTGATGTACTCAGAGGACCATTATTAGCATGTTTTAACCACTCCTATAAAAATGGTAGATTATCAGATACTCAACAAGAAGGTCTGATTTCATTATTACTGAAACAGGACGTGTGGTAAATATAAAGATCCAGTCTATTAAAAAAATTGGAGGCCCCTTACACTTCAGTGTTGTGATGCAAACATTCTAGCAAAGTGCATAGCGCATAGAATTAAAAAGGTATTGTCGGATATTATTTATCCTAATCAGACAGGTTTTTTACATGGACAATACATTGGAGATAATGCCGGTATTATACTGGCCCTTCTCCCCGATTGCTCAGTTTGGCCGGGCGGCCAGCTCTAGGAAGAGTCTTGGTGGTTCCAAACTTCCATTTAAGAATGATGGAGGCCAATACTGCAGACATTTATTTGAACTTTGAGCACCTGATTTTTGTAAAGTACATGCAGTCAACATGTAGGCGCAAGTGGGAGATTGTTTTGCCTAATGCAACAGACTTTGAGAGGCGGTGACCAACGATGGTCAAGGACTTAACAAAACGGATCTGCTCGAACACATTCTGTAACTTCTGTTGCCTTGGCTACCTCACGAGCACTCAATCTCTCACACGTGCAAGCCAGCCAATAATGAGCTAGTTCCCTCTTTAGTCGTAGAAGCGTTGGGGACTGAAAATTGCATTAATCACGTAGCTAGTTAGCAAAGTAATTTTTCTTGAAATGTTGAACGAGTGTGAGCTGGCCAGCTTTAAAGGAGAGAAATTCAGACTTCAACTACAGCTCCCAGAATGCAACCGCAATGCAGCGTAGGTGTGTGTATCCGGTGTCTTAAACACATTTTACTTCCGCCCTGACAGACCGACACGGGCAGGCCGAAAAAGAAAACGTTGCTAACTTTTAAAAGCAGCAATCAACAAGAGCTTTTCGAGCATAGTTTCATATTTTACAACAAAATCAGGACATGTTGCTCGACGTGACTGAATATTGACGAAGCCGCGAAAAACAAAGACTGAAACGCGTTGGCCGCTCAAGAAAGTTTGTGCGAGGGCCTGTAAACAACATGTCCTCCGCCTCGCAGGCATCCTCTAGACGGCAATGGTGCTACCTCTGCGATCTGCCCAAGATGCCCTGGGCCATGCTCTGGGAATTCAGCGAAGCTGTTTGCCGGGGATGCGTGAACTACGACGGGGCGGACAGAATCGAGCTACTAATTGAGACGGCCAGGCAGTTGAAGAGCAGCCACGGAGTTTTGGACGGAAGGTCCCCGGGCCCTCAGCAAGGCAAACCCAACTCAGGTGGGCCGATGGAAGGAGGGAGGCAGCACGCAGAGCGTTTAGACAGGGGGAGGGGAGAGTATGGAGTTTCTCCCCGCCTCCCCAATGGTCTGCACAGAGCTGAAGATGTGAGTATGTCAGAGGGGAGCAGGCAGAGCCCCAACACTAGAAGGGCTATGGCTGGGGCCGTACCTGCTCTACATGGGACCATACCTCATGCTTTGTTAGCCCAGGGGTTAGTGGGGGCCCCTCACGGCTTGTTGGCCCCCGTTTCAGGCACCAGAGCTGGGGGCCCGCAGATGGCTGGTTCCTCTGGCCCAATAATGAGTGATGTTGGCAGGCGTCAGGTAATGTCAGCCATGTCGCTGGGGGCTGGTGCCTCCACTCTGGTGGGTCTGGAGGCAGGCTGGAGGAATGGGGAGGTCATGGCTGAGCTGGCAGAGAGTGCCAGGAGCCGGGCAGAGGGCTGGCCCAACCGCCCCAGAGCTGTACGAGACGTCCTGGTGACCCTCTGCGGCTGTGCCCCCTTCAGTGTGCGCTTCAGGAAAGACCACAACCTGGTGGGGCGCATTCTCGCTTTCGAAGCCGGCACCGGGCCTGAGTTTGAGCTGAAGGTGTTTGTGGAGTACCCCAGCGGCTCTGGAATAGTCTTCTCGGGCATCCCAGAGCTTGTCAGGCAGATGTTTCGCGACTCAAACAAAGACGCAGGCAAAGCGGTGAACTCTGGGCTGCGTTACGTGGAATATGAGAGGCGGCAGGGCGCCGGGGACTGGCGTGCACTCACGGAGCTCCTGAGTGATGGTGTGCGCTCGTTTAAGGAGCCACCAATGCCCGACGTCCTCCCACAGCCGTACACGGAGGCCGGCATGCCCATGGCACCTGCCGGCCGCTCTGCACCTACAAAGGGTGCTGCACGGCGACGCAAAGCATCCCCGAGCTCTGAAAACGGAGAGAGTGATGGAAGGCCCATGGGGGATCACCCAGCCAGAGAGCCCTGGCCTCGAGGTGCCTATCCAGGCATGGAGCCCCTAGGCTCAGGCATGCCCATCCCCCAGGACAGCCTGCCCCGCTCCCACAGCCAGCCCTCGCCCATCTCAGCGCTCATGGGAGTGGCCGACAGCCTGAGCTCAAGCCAGATGTCCCGAGATGGCCCCGGCATGTCCTCGGCCCACTCCTCCGCAGCTGGCCGCCCAACCAGCGGCAGTCCCTCCTCTGCCTCCGCTGCAGTCTCCCAGGCAGATGTGGGCCAGGGTGCCCAAGGGGGGCCGAGCACCACCAGTGCTGGGGAGTCCGGGAGCGGCTCCCTGCTTTGCTGCACCCTCTGCCGAGAGCGTCTGGAAGACACTCACTTTGTCCAATGTCCGTCTGTCCCGCACCACAAGTTCTGCTTCCCATGCACGCGTGGCTCCATCCGCAGTCAGGGCCCTGGAGGTGAGGTGTACTGCCCCAGCGGCGAGCGCTGTCCCCTGGCCGGATCCACCGTGCCCTGGGCCTTTATGCAGGGAGAGATCTCCACCATCCTGGCCGGAGACAGCGACGTGACGGTGAAGAAGGAGAACGACCCCTAACCCCCAAGTCCAATCAAGGTGAAAGGCCGATGACATCCATCATTTTTTTCATAGCTCTATTAGAGCAGTAGTTGTTTCTGTTGCTAATAAATGTTGTAATTGTCTTCTTTCTCAACAGCAGATCAAACAACACTTTGAAAGTGCTTTGCTGATCTATTTATCTCACCCGGAAGGTCCAACTGGCTGCAGTTCATCACGTGCAGCAAGAAATAACCGAATCACCACGCAACCCAGGAGGCAACAGAACCACCTTTCTAAACAAGTTAGGAGGGCACCAGAACAGTTTGTCTGAGCTGGGCTCATCTGCAGGGGTTAGTAGTAATAGTTAAACTAGAGAAAATCATACACGTCATTCTCCATGTCCAATGAAGCAGCAGAGGCTATTCACGAGGCCTTGTTTTAAAAGCCCAGGATTGAAAGCACAGGTCTGTTCTTTAATGACAATCTCTCAACGTTTCATGTGTTTCTATATAATATTAAAACAATATTTAGTTGCATACTGTGTCATATCAATGAATGATACCAATATTGAAAGTCCATGGGTAGCCAGAACCATGCAATTATTTGGACAGGACAAATAGATTTTTAAAAAAATGGCAAAACCAGTAGGTCCTTAACCAAGGTTTGAACATTTTAATCACACACGTCTTTTCAATGTATGCTCCTTTATTACATATTGTATGTTAAAAATGTGAATTTACTTTAAATGACTTTCTATTTTTGATACAATACAAATTGATGTATGAGTTTATAGTAAGTGATAAGACCAAAGACGGCTTTGTGCTCTAAAGTTACTGTAGCTATGTATGCTGTATTCACTGATAACCTTTGGTATCAGTCACTCTGTTTCTTAATCTACCACAGAAGTAAGCTGGTTGTTTTTGTCTCTAACTTTTTCTGAAATCGTGTGTGTATGTGTGTGTGTATATATATATATATATATTACACATACATACACACACACGCTTCAATGGTTAAACCACATACTCAAATGTGATCTTAATATGGGGTCAACTCTATAATAAATTCCAGAATAGTCGTTGCTCTTGTGAATTTTTTGCTGCCGCAATTTTATTCCTACCCTCTTGTAAAAATGATTCTGTATTTTTATGGCACACACATACCAGGAGAAATGCAGCAATTTTCAAACATTTAATTAATCTCGGAAAAAGGTATACAGTTGCACTCATATTGGCCTCCAATGGAGGAGAAAGTTCAATTTTCTCTTTTCAAAACTGGTTAAAATGCTATTTTTACCCTGTAGACACATGCAATTTACCAATGGGGAGAAATTACACCGTAAACGAGAATCACCTGATTCCAACCAAATTAATTTGAAGTTTGAATAATTTAGTCCAGGCCATTTGACATGAAGTGAAAAATCTCCATTTCAGTTTTAAATTAAACAAATGTGTGATCAAAGTTCTCAATTACAACTTATTTTAGAAGAACATGAACTGTGCAAATATATTACAGCACAACTGTACATAGCAATTTGAAGACAGGGACATATTTCATTACTCTTTTCACGTATGACTTTTTCCATGATTCAGCATTTTAGAACTTAATGAAATTCCAATGATACCACTAAACCACTACCTGTAAACAAAACATGTATTTGCGCAGCAAAATAGGGTATAAAAGACATTCAATAAATGTAAAAAGAGCTCACATTTCACATGCCTTGTATGCATAGACTGGCACCAAGTGTCGCAACCAATTTCCAGGATTAGAATCATTGGGGCTGTATCTAGATTTTCATACCGTTTCTGTACCATACCGGAGTATACGGTATTGCCAAATGTGCACACAAGTGGCGCTAGAGAGACATTAAATCCCCTCATGGATCAAGATCCCGGTTGCCTAAATTGTTTTGTGTGTCAAAACATTTACATTTCTTTGACACACAAAACAATTTAGGCAACAGGGATCCATGAGGGGATTTAATGTCTCTTCTGTAACCAAGAAGCTTGATCTTGACATCTAGCAAGTTAGCAAACCAAATGCATAGCTGGAGCCCTAAGATGGATATAATTTATTTGACACATCTTAGATTTCTTATAGTTACACTTATAGCTAGCTAGCTATAAGCAGTGGCGTAGCACAGTATTGAAAATCATACCGTCGGTATTTGGAAATACCCCGGTATATCGCCCAAGCCTAATTAGAACATATTGTAAACAAAAAACTCACCCGTAGATTATGTATATTGCAATAACATTTTCACAAACAAAAAGGAAGCCTGAAAAACATTGAATTTGGTATCATCCCTTATTGATTTGGTTCATGAGGACCATATTTATATTCCATTGACAAATATCAAGTGATAATGAGCAACTAGTGGTCAGCCATCAATGCTTTACATTGGAGTCACCCAGTGAACCCTCGTAAGGAGCTTCTCAATCCAATGACATAACCCCTCAGAAAGGGCTTCCTGTGTCCCGGAGGGCCTCTTGGGCCCCTTTCAGTGTCTCTCTCTTCACACACTTCCAGTAATCAGTGATGCCACGCTGGGGCTGCACCTGGGGAAATACAAACATCACATAATAACGTTAATCAACTTTACAGAGTGACTTGATCACCAGGACACGTTTAAAGGTTCTTTAGTACACAGGAAAAGGTGTCCTGGAGGGTGGGACGGGGTGGTTCGGTCAGATTGTGTAGCCTTGGCTGAAACGTAACTTGTATAGTACAATTCATACAGAGACCGCAACTCACAACACAATGATTATTTACAAGTAAATTGGAGACCTGCATGAAAGTTCGAGTGAAGCGCGGATCTCAAGACCAAATAATGCCCTGACAGACATTTTAATGTGATTGCCAACTGATAAATGCCCCCTTTACCTTCAAGCCACGCAGTACTCTGTCCTCCATCACTCCGATAAACTCCTTGTGGCTCAGGCAGTTATCACCATCCAGGTCAAAGATCTTGAACACAGTGTCCAGCACGTTCTCCGAGAGGTCGTGCCCTGTGGCGATCTTCACAGCTCGCTTAAATTGGACTGTGGAGAATGGAAGGGAAACAGACTATCAGGATAATGTCCTTGGTTTGAATATGATGAATTAGAATCTTTCATACAAAGTGCCCTTCCTACTAAAAACAAGGTAGAAATGAAAATTACCCATTCCAATAGGTCGGTTGGCTTCACTTATCATTTTCACAGAGAAGGCAAAGTCCTCCAGATTGTTGGTGAATAGGCAGAACGCTTTGAACTCGTCAAATGTGATGCTCTACAAGAGAAGAGGGACAAATGTCCAAGTCGTACATTGAGAAGTCAACCCTTGAGAGCCCCCCCAAAATGTGCTATATTTCACAACTTCTTAAACATGAAGGTACATTGACATGACTGCATATTATCCCTGGCCCTGTTCGAATAGAAAATGCATCCTTCCTTCATTAAAGTAACCCCATATCTGAATTGGTTGGATTGGGGAAAATGATCGGGTGGCAATTGGCAACCTTGCTTTCACCTATCACAACCCCTAATAATCTGTGATGACCTTAAAGAAGGAAGGGTGGATTTTTCAAAGCAGTGGAACAGGGCCATGTTCCTTTTTACCTGGCCAGCAGGGATCCTCTTCCTCATGTTCTCCCAGTAGGCCTCGTTGGCTTCCTCGTTGGTGTAGTGCAGCAGCCACTCGGCAAAGTCCTCCCGCCGCATGGTGTCCATGCCCTTGGAAAACTGCAGGAACTCCATCTCCTGCACCTCCGCCTGCAGGTCCTCCATGAACCTAGAGGAGATATCCAGAGTAAAGACACTGAACGGGACTAGGTCGGTTCTGGGCCCGTACTCAAAAAGTGTCTCAGAGTAGGAATGCTGATCTAGGATCTGGTCTCCCTGTCCACGTAACTATATTATGATCTAACAGGCAACACTGATCCTAGATAAACAATAAGTATTCAGTGCGTATGAGAAAACATGATTTTACTAGGATTAGGTACACCTACACTACCATTTCAAAAGTTTGGGGTCACTTAGAAATGTCCTTGTTTTCCATGAAAACATACATGAAATGAGTTTGAATAGGAAATATAGTCATTGACAAGGTTATAAATAATGATTGTGTCCTTCAAACTTTGCTTTCGTCAAAGAATCCTCCATTTGCAGCAATTACAGCCTTGCAGACCTTTGGCATTCTAGTTGTCAATTTGTTGAGGTAATCTGAAGAGATTTCACCCCATGCTTCCTGAAGCACCTCCCACAAGTTGGATTGGCTTGATGGGCACTTCTTACGTACCATACGGTCAAGCTGCTCCCACAACAGCTCAATAAGGTTGAGATCCGGTGACTGTACTGGCCACTCCATTATAGAAAGAATACCAGCTGACTGCTTCTTCCCTAAATAGTTCATGCATAGTTTGGAGCTGTGCTTTGGGTCATTGTCCTGTTGTAGGAGGAAATTTGCTGCAATTAAGCGCCGTCCACAGGGTATGGCATGGCGTTGCAAAATGGAGTGATAGCCTTCCTTCTTCAAGATCCCTTTTACCCTGTACAAATCTCCCACTTTACCACTAAAGCACCCCCAGACCATCACATGGCCTCCACCATGCTTGACAGATGGCATCAAGTACTCCTCCAGCATATTTTCATTTGGTCTGCGTCTCACAAATGTTCTTCTTTGTGATCCGAACACCTCAAACTTCGATTCGTCTGTCCATAACACTTTTTTCCAATCTTCCTCTGTCCAGTGTCTGCGTTCTTTTGCCCATCTTAATCGTTTATTTTTATTGGCTAGTCTGAGATATGGCTTTTTCTTTGCAACTCTGCCTAGAAGGTCAGCATCCCGGAGTCGCCTCTTCACTGTTGTCGTTGAGACTGGTGTTTTGCGGGTACTATTTAATGAAGCTGCCAGTTGAGGACCTGTGAGGGGTCTGTTTCTCAAACTAGACACTAATGTATTTGTCCTCTTGCTCAGTTGTGCACCGGGGCCTCCCACTCTTCTTTCTATTATGGTTAGAGCCAATTTGCGCTGTTCTGTGAAGGGAGTAGTACACAGCGTTGTACGAGATCTTCAGTTTCTTGGCAATTTCTCACATGGAATAGCCTTCATTTCTCAGAACAAGAATAGACTGACGAGTTTCAGAAGAAAGTTCTTTGTTTCTGGCCATTTTGAGCCTGTAATCAAACCCACAATTGCTGATGCTCCAGATGCTCAACTAGTCTCAAGAAGGCCTGTTTTATTGCTTCTTTAAAATCAGCACAACAATTTTCAGCTGTGCCAACATAATTGCAAAAGGGTTTTCTAATGATCAATTAGCCTTTTAAAAATGATAAACTTGGATTAGCAAACAACGTGCCATTGGAACACAGGACTGATGGTTGCTGATAATGGTCCTCCGTACGCCTATGTAGATATTCCATTAAAAATCTGCAGTTTCCAGCTACAATAGCCATTTACAACATTAACAATGTCTACAATGTATTTCTGATCAATTTGATGTTATTTTAATGGACAAAAAAAAAGGTTTTTCTTTCGAGGACATTTCTAAGTGACCCCAAACTTTTGAACGGTAGTGTATATATACACAAAAGTATGTGGACACCCCTTCAAATTAGCGGATTCGGCTATTTCAGCCACACCCGTTGCTGACCGGTGTATAAACTCGAGCACACAGCCATGCAATCTCCATAGACAAACATTGGCAGTAGAATGGCCTAACTGAAGAGTTCAGTGACTTTCAACGTGGCACCGTCATAGGATTCTACCTTTCCAACAAGTCAGTTCATCAAATTTCTGCCCTGATAGAGCTTCCCCGGTCAACTCTAAGTGCTGTTATTGTGAAGTGGCAATGTCTAGGAGCAACAACGGCTCAGCCGCGAAGTGGTAGGCCACACAAGCTCACAGAACTGGACCACCGAGTGCTGAAGCGCGTAAAAATCGTCCGTCCTCGATTGCAACACTCACTACCGAGTTTTCAAACTGCCTCTGGAAGCAACATCAGCATAAGAACTGTTAGTCGGGAGCTTCACGAAATAGGTTGCCATGGCCAAGCAGCCGCACACAAGCCTAAGATCACCATGCACAATGCCAAGCATCGGCTGGAGTGTTGTAAAGCTCGCCGCCATTGTACTCTGGAGCAGTGGAAACGTGTTCTCTGGAGTGATGAATCACACTTCACCAATGGTTTGGGGCTGTTTTTCATGGTTCGGGCTAGGCGCCTTAGTTCCAGTGAAGGGAAATCTTAACAATACAGCATACAATGACATTATAGACAATTCTGTGCTTCCAACTTTGTGGCAACAGTTTGGGGAAGGCCCTTTCCTGTTTCAGCATGACAATGCCCCAGTGCACAAAGCGAGGTCCATACATAAATGGTTTGTCGAGATCGGTGTGGAAAAACTTGACTGGCCTTCACAAAGCACTAACCTCAACCCCATCAGAGACCTTTGGTATGAATTGGAACGCTGACTGCGAGCCAGGTCTAATCGCCCAACATCATTGCCTGACCTCACTAATGCTCGTGGCTGAATGGAAGCAAGTCCCCGCAGCAATGTTCCAACATATAGTGGAAAGCCTTCCCAGAAGAGTGGAAGCTGTTATAGCAGCAATGGGTGGACCAACTCCATTTTAATGCCCATGACTTTGGAATGAGCAGGTGTCCACATACCTTTGGTCATGTAGTGTATTTTACCTGCAGAATCCATTGTACTGAAGCTTGTTTTCGCCATTCCTGCCAAAGAAGAATGCCTGCAGTGTAGTGTTCACACCATCCTCCTCTACGACTGGTTTCTGTGAAGATGACATCAAGTTTCAACATTTCCTGCCTTTGTTATTACTGCAAGCCCCATCACGCTTGAAATACGAGTAAACACAATCAGTTTTCCAGCCGGTACGCAATGGTTTACATTTACATCATTGTACAATGACAGAGTTGGCAAGGCTTAGCGCTTTCAATGGCCATTTCCCCAAAGACCATTCAATGTCATTCACGAAGTCACATAAATGACTAAGGAGTTCAGTCTTAAAAAGAAGGTTTAGTGTTGACTCACCATGTCTGTGGCACCTTCCTTGGGCACTTTCTCTTTTATTTTCCCAATGATTTTCTTGAGCTTCATCAAAACAAAGCAGCAACAATTATTTATTGTATTATAATAACGCAGATACTAAACAACAAAAGATTAAGCTAAAAACATTTACTACTAGTGAGAGCATTTCTTAGCTAGCTTACAGTAAAAAAATGCAGTTATAAACCCACTAATAACACATACATACCTCTTACTCATCTGAATTATCCAATAAATGTCAGCAATAACAGAGAAATGTTCATTAGTCAAAAGGTTACCTACTACCCACAATGCCTCACTAATATTAAAACTGGAGCCAGTATGAAACAGCAAACAGTGTCTGTGTGTTTGAGATCGACTACACAGCAGTTGGACCACACAGAATTACTGATCTACAAATCACCTTGCATCCCAAATACTACTCATGATGTGATCAAAGTGATCACTTGCCTTGCTCACACTGATCCGCTCAAACATGCTGAATGATTATCCATGCTGCTCCTCTCTCTCCTTTGTCAGGTGCATAACATGCTTACGTGTAGTATGTTTTGGACCCCATCTTCCCAGTAGGAACACACAACAGAGGTCTCTTAACGCTAACTAAACCCTGTGGTTCCCAGTGTTGCTGATGTCCACACCAGCCTCTGTTCGAAATTAGGGAATCAACTTTTCATTGGTTTGGTACAAAATTGTACCAGTCACAGGCATTTTTGTAGCAATGTATGCATACTGTATTGTGCTAAAGCCAACTAGCAAATACAGTATGTTTACAAGCTAGTTTCTGTAACATATAAAATGTGGTACCTCTTAGAATGAACATGCCTATGTTTTGACAGAAGGAACCAATTGAGGTGGGAGAAATTGGTGCACAGACTTGAGGTACTGGCCATACAACATGTGACTCTCTGCGTTAGTATCAAGAGTCTATAGTACTCAAATTATTTGTAGGAGCATTTATTTTAAAACCTCCAACTGGGTAACGTCCATGTAAGGGTTGGTAATATTTTGGAATGTAACAGTGTGGATACTTGATATAGATATACACGACTATACTTTGATATACAATACATTAGACTGAATACAGACTACTACAGAGCCTTGCAAAAGTATTCATCCCCCTTGGCGTTTTTCCTATTTTGTTGCATTACAACCTGTAATTTAAATGGATTTCATGTAATGGACATACACAAAAGAGTCCAAATTAGTGAAGTGAAATGAAAAAAATAACGGAAAAGTGGTACGTGCATATGTATTCTCCCCCTTTGTTATGAAGCTCCTAAATAAGATCTGGTGCAACCAATTACCTTCAGAAGTCACATAATTCAGAAGTCCACCTGTGTGCAATCTAAGTGTCACATGATCTGTCACATGATCTCAGTATATACACACACACACACACACACACACCTGTTCTGAACGGCCCCAGAGTCTGCAACACCACTAAGCTAGGGGCACCATGAAGACCAAGGAGCTCTCCAAACAGGTCAGGGGAAAAGTTGTGGAGAAGTACAGATCAGGGTTGGGTTATAAAAAAATATCTGAAACTTTGAACATCCCACGGAGCACCATTAAATCCATTATTAAAAAATTGAAAGAATATGGCACCACAACAAACCTGCCAAGAGAGGGCCGCCCACTAAAACTCACGGACCAGGCAAGGAGGGCATTAATCAGAGGCAACAAAGAGACCAAAGATAACCCTGAAGGAGCTGCAAAGCTCAACAGCTGAGATTGGAGTATCTGTCCATAGGACCACTTTAAGCCGTACACTCCACAGAGCTGGGCTTTACGGAAGAGTGGCCAGAAAAAAGCCATTGCTTGAAGAAAAAAATAAGCAAACACGTTTGGTGTTCGCCAAAAGACATATGGGAGACTCCCCAAACATATGGAAGAAGGTACTCTGGTCAGATGAGACTAAAATTGAGCTTTTAGGCCATCAAGGAAAACGCTATGTCTGGTGCAAACCCAACACCTCTCATCACCCGAGAACACCATCCCCACAGTGAAGCATGGTGGTGGCAGCATCATGCTGTGGGGATGTTTTTCATCGGCAGGGACTGGGAAACTGGTCAGAATTGAAGGAATGATGGATGACGCTAAATACAGGGAAATTCATGAGGGAAACCTGTTTCAGTCTTCCAGAGATTTGAGACTGGGACGGAGGTTCACCTTCCAGCAGGACAATGACCCTAAGCATACTGCTAAAGCAACACTCGAGTGGTTTAAGGGAAACATTTAAATGTCTTGGAATGGCCTAGTCAAAGCCTAGTCCTCAATCCAATTGAGAATCTGTGGCATGACTTAAAGATTGCTGTACACCAGCGGAACCCATCCAACTTGAAGGAGCTGGAGCAGTTTTGCCTTGAAGAATGGGCAAAAATCCCAGTGGCTAGATGTGCCAAGCTTATTGAGACATACCCCAAGAGACTTGCAGCTGTAATTACTGCAAAAAGTGGCTCTCCAAAGTATTGAGTTTGGAGGGGTGAATAGTTATGCACGCTCAAGTTCTATTTTTTTTTCTTATTTCTTGTTTGTTTCACAAAAAAATATATTTTGCATCTTCAAAGTGGTAGGCATGTTGTGTAAATCAAATGATACAAACCTCAAAAAAATCCATTTCAATTCCAGGTTGTAAGGCAACAAAATAGGAAAAATGCCAAGGGGGGTGAATACTTTCGCAAGCCACTGTATATGCAACATGAAAATACAAATCCATAAATTCCTTGAGAAGCATATCATCATCACTGTCTGATGAAAACCTCTCATCTCCAAACCAGAAATGTGTCAGGAAATTGAAAGAATTACCAAATTTTCCCATTAACGAACATACAATTATGACGCTTCAGAAGCTATTTTGAATATATTTTCTTGGTCCTAGAGTCATGAAATGTTCAGAGTACATTGAGGGGGATTACTGCTTTCAATCAATAAAAAAAATTGGCCACAAATGCAGTTCCAAGGTTTTCATCAGAGAGCGACGATATCATAAAAGGAACATTTTATAATATAGATTATAAAACATACCTTGAGAAACTCCTTTCTGTCCACATGCTCATTGCCATCAATATCAAGCATTTTGAAAGCTATATGAAATCCTGTGTGTGGCTCTGAAATAACACAATGCATTTTCTATTAGAAAATAACATCACAGGCTTATCTAGGTACTGCTTGGACAGAACAAAGCAGCGACAAGATGAGCGGTTAACAGCAGGGTCTTCTGAAATAATGATTCAAGCACAACATTGTTGGTGACTGGGCAACATCTTGAATTAGGAAGTTAAGTCATCAAAACACTACCACATGAGCAGTGTGTTCAATAGCTAAATATGAGAAAATAATAATATAAATAGAAAAGGAAAATTAGCGTTCTATTGGACCTTTTGAATATGTTATTTTTAATTTTGTGCCTACTGAACACCCACCACCCAGGTTTAGTCAGTCCTGCTACATTTAAGTTTTACACAGCTATTCAGGCACTGCACTAAACTTTGGAGGGCATAGAAAATCCCACAAATTCAAGTAATGCATACATAACCATCTTATAATTTTCACAATGTTTTACAGTAACAGGCTACACAATGTACTATCCTAAACATGATAGATAGCCTAATCTAATGTACTCTGTCAATAAATTAAGTTAACCTAATGCGCAGACAATCAGATGCAGAGCCTGAGAATATCATGGGCAACGGAAACTCGCCAATCCAGCTCCTGTACAAAGGTGTTGCCACACATTCATTATGTTTGCGCTGGTCCGCCAAGGCATGACTGTGCATGCAGAAAAGTGCATGAGATCTCACATGCTTTAATGTGGCACTGCCTTGGCACGTCTATATGCTACATCTGTGCTAAACCAGGGTTGTGTTCACTAGGCACCCAACAGAAGAAAATGTTCTGAAACTGAGTGAAACAGGAAGGTACCATTCTGTCCTTGCATAACACTGTTGCTTCCGTTCCTCTCCCTGCCCCAACCTGGGATCAAACCAGGGAGCCTCTGAACACATCGACATCTGTCACCCATGAAAAAGCTGCGGCCCTTGAGTGGGTGACGTCACCTATTGAATGATACTAGGCTACACTCACCCCCTTTGACCTCCTCCGCAGCAACCTCAGCAGTCGGGCAGAGCTCAACTGAGTAGATACCGCTAACTAGCTAGCCAATTGACATCGACTAAACTTGTCCAATAACAAACACTCCTTTTTGTTTTCAGTTGCAAACCATTTTGCTACAGTTCTCCTAATGGACACAACCCAGATTAAGTAAGATGTGCTGTGTAAGCATGAGAGGATGCAGGTTCAATGCATGTCATTGAAAGGGAGGGCTTTTTCTACTGTACATCATGCTATAACTTACTGGTCAGAATAGTCAACAGGAACAGGTACTCTGTGTAGGATATCAGACCTGCAAGACACAAAACATGCCATCTGTATCACACAAACATTTCAGTGAGTGTTCATTTAAACCGTTTAGATTGACACTCCCACATATTGAACAAATACATATTTTCCTGCCTGAAGTATAACTAGCCAGCATCTTTTTACTTTGATAAAGCACATAGCACCATTGAGGTTCTTTCACCATGGCATGAAAACGTACCATCGTCTCCGAAGTTTCTGAACAGACTGTTGCCTGCCTGGGCCCGTGTGGCAGCATCCAGCATCTTATCCACCTCCTCCAAGTATCATAAATTATACAAAGAGAAACAACTAAAAGTAATCTCTTGCTGTAATGCTCATGTTGATAAGACGACAGTAAATCCAAAACAAGTTCTGACAATGAGTTAACCCGATCCCAACACTCACCTTTTTGGTTAGAGCTTTATTTTGTAATTTACCTACAAGCAGAAGAAAGGAAAAGTAAAGAGCAGTTCTTGCTTGGAACAAAATGCAATACACTTACCCAGAGGGAGCTTGTGTCTAGCCAATGTAGCCATATACCAAACAATTACATTCATTACATCACAAAGTATCCCTTTTCAAACAGGTAGGCCATTTTACAACATGGACACCATCATTTGATACTACTGTACTTACGGTCAACATTCTCCAGCATGATTGAGAAGAGGAAATCCCTTGGTGTCATGTAGAGTTCCTTATCGTACATCATGGAGGCAAACTGGTTGAAGCGCATCCGTCTGGCAGACGTCTGGGACACTGGAAGCACCTATAATACAGAAGGAAGCATTAGCACTAAAAGGAGGACAAAGTCTAAACTAAGGGGCAGTGCATAGCTGAAAATTGGATAAGAATGGCTATAGAATTAATTGTCAGTACTCCTGACCAACTATTTTGGCACATAGCCAAATGACAGACTTTCATGCAAACAGCAATTAGCTAATGGATACAGTTGAAGTCGGAAGTTTACATACACTTACGTTGGAGTCATTAAAACTCGTTTTTCAACCACTCCACAAATTTCTTTTTAACAAACTATAGATTTGGCAAGTCGGTTAGGACATCTACTTTGTGCATGACAAGTAATTTTTCCAACAATTGTTTAAAGACAGATTATTTCACTTATAATTCACTGTATCACAATTCCAGTGGGTCAGAAGTTTACATACACTAAGTTGACTGTGCCTTTAAACAGCTTGGAAAATTCCAGAAAATGATGTCATGGCTTTAGAAGCTTCTGATCATTTGAGTCAATTGGAGGTGTACATGTGGATGTATTCAAGGCCTACCTTCAAATTCAGTGCCTCTTTGCTTGACATCATGGGAAAATCAAAAGAAATCAGCCAAGACCTCAGGAAAATAATTGTAGACCTCCACAAGTCTGGTTCATCCTTGGGAGCAATTTCCAAATGCCTGAAGGTACCACGTTCATCTGTACAAACGATGGTACGCAAGTATAAACACCATGGGACCACACAGCAGTCATACCGCTCAGGAAGGAGATGCGTTCTGTCTCCTAGAGATGAACGTACTTTGGTGCGAAAAGTGCAAATCAATCCCAGAACAGCAGCAAAGGACCTTGTGAAGATGCTGGAGGAAACAGGTACAAAAGTATCTATATCCACAGTAAAACGAGTCCTATGTCGACATAAGATGAAAGGCTGCTCAGCAAGGAAGAAGCCACTGCTCCAAAACCGGCATAAAAAAGCCAGACTACGGTTTGCAACTGCACATGGGGACAAAGATCGTACTTTTTGGAGAAATGTCCTCTGGTCTGATGAAACAAAAATAGAACTGTTTGCCCATAATGACCATCGTTATGTTTGGAGGAAAAAGGGGATAGCTTGCAAGCCGAAGAACACCATCCCAACCGTGAAGCATGGGGGTGGCAGCATCATGCTGTGGGGGTGCTTTGCTGCAGGAGGGACTGGTGCACTTCACAAAATAGATGGCATCATGAGGAAGGAAAATTATGTGGATATATTGGAAGCAACATCTCAAGACATCAGTCAGGAAGTTAAAAGCTTGGTCGCAAATGGGTCTTCCAAATGGACAATGACCCCAAGCATACTTCCAAAGTTGTGGCAAAATGGCTTAAGGACAACAAAGTCAAGGTATTGGAGTGGCCATCACAAAGCCCTGACCTCAATCCTATAGAACATTTGTGGGCAGAACTGAAAAAGTGTGTGCGAGCAAGGAGGCCTACAAACCTGACTCAGTTATACCAGCTCTGTCAGAAGGAATGGGCCAAAATTCACCCAACTTATTGTGGGAAGCTTGTGGAAGGCTACCTGAAACGTTTGACCCAAGTTAAACAATTTAAAGGCAATGCTACCAAATACTAATTGAGTGTATGTAAACTTCTGACCCACTGGGAATGTGATGAAAGAAATAAAAGCTGAAATAAATCATTCTCTCTACTATTATTCTGACATTTCACATTCTTAAAATAAAGTGATGATCCTAACTGACCTAAGACAGGGAATATTTACTAGGATTAAATGTCAGTTTAAATGTATTTGGCTAAGGTGTATGTAAACTTCCGACTTCAACTGTACATTTTATTTGCTTGCTTCTATCAATGTATCTACTGATTGCACAATTTCCCAATACATAGAAAACATTAGCCCATAGGCCTCGATGAACGAGGTCTATGAGCATATCACTAGCAAACCGTGCGACTTAATTCCAGACTTGTGAAAGTACCTGTTTAGCGGCCCTTTTCCCATGTCGGGAGATTTGTTTCTTCTTCTTCAATGAGGTTTAACGGCGGTTGGTGTCCAATAAATGTTGCATTACCGCCACCTACTAGACTGGAGTATAACTCCCTTATACCTTGCTTTAAAAAATAAATAAAAATACAACCAATACCCTACACTCTCAAAAAATACAAAAAACTATAATAATAACTACCATACTCCAGTAGTTATTCCTACCTCAGGCCAACAGCCTGAAAGGATGGGACACCACCACTTAACACAACCTGTAACTCTTCTGGCATCAAGTCTTGCACACCCAAATACCTCTCTGCAGCTGCCACCACTACCTCTATTTTCTGCGACTTACGTTCCATCCCTGCAGTACAGTTGATAACCATTGCTATAAATGCCAAAAATCCAATCTTACTGAAACATATATCACTTGTTGGTTTATCCTCTGTACTGGTACAGATCTACTACTCACACCAGTCCTCTCAGGATCCCTCCCCCTTGACCCATCTTTCCTGCCTCAGCATATGACAACTTCTGCAATACTCTAACCCTGGTAACCTCAACCTGCCTCTCTCGCACCGGACATTTCGGATCCCCAGCCCCATGGGCACCCCTAAAATTAACACATACCACTACTTTCCCCAATGCTACGCATTCCTTTGTCTCATGCCCTTCCGCACACTTCTCACACCTAGGAACCTCCCTCCTACACACTGCTGCCACATGCCCATAAACTTGACACCTGTAATAACGTAATGTATTCTGCACAAAAGCTCGTACCGGATAACTTATATATCCTAACATCACTTTGTCGGGCAAAGACTCAACATCAAAACTCAAAAGAACAGACAATGACTCTTCTGTTTCTTCACTCACGCCACCCTGTCTGCATCCCACCAAATGACGAGCATCACAAACACTGGGAATCTTACCCAGCTTTCATATTTACATGCCTTTCAATGGCACCCTTTTCTTGAGAGCAAAACAATTCACATCTATTGCCCCCATTAGTTAAACATGGAGCGCCTGCTCCCTCTGACCAGCAGAAACACAAACAATTATCACCAGACCACTTCTGGTTACCCTCACTGATTCCACAGCACCCAACTCTGTTTTCACCCACCCTGAAACCACAAATGGATCAGCCAAAAGGCAAGGATCCACTTTTTCAAAAGCTTGACTCCTACTGTCACAGACTCATCTTTATCCTGACCCTCGGTGCAAATCTCGGGCTCCGAGAACGTCACCACACCTACCACCTCCGATACCTCCCTCATTCACTTCCATTTCTCCTCTTGTCTTCAACTCACTCTGCTTACACTTTCTACCATTCTTCTTTAACAAACCATCTCCATTTTCCCCGCCATTTGATTTGATTTGATTTGATTTTGAACTGACTCAAGCTCACCCTCTTCCTCCCTCTCTCTTAGACCTCCTCTGCCTCTCTTTTCCCCTCCATTATTCCTCCGTATTCCAAGTATAACTATTATTATGATAGTACTGCCCTTCTCCTGACATACATCTAGTTCTTGCCTTGTCTAGGGACGCCATTTAACCGGCTGTCACAATCTCCGTACATTCAGCACGAACCCCTCGGGATGTAGCGCTCAACAGTGCATCCCACTTGTAAAGCAGCCCCTGGCCAAGGCCAGAGTCACCATCTCTTCCTGTCTCCTCAGAGCAAGGTCACATTCCCTGTCTGTTTCACACCCGTTTGTCCTAGTTAATCAACCTCGCAATATGGCCATCGTGCTGCCACAGACAGGAAGTAGAAGTAGCATCTAACAACTGGATTTAATACTTTATTGTGCACTGCTTGGTGCGGTGATGTAAGGCAGTGTTTCCCAACCCTAGTCCTCGAGTACCTGATTCAACTTGTCAACTAATCATCAAGCCCTCAATGAGTTGAATGAGGTGTGTTTGTCCAGGGCTACAATGAAAATGTGTACTGTTGGGGGTCCTCGAGGACCAGGGTTGGGAAACACTGATGTAAGGGTTTAATAAGAACTGTCAACCGACTATGGATATACCTTTCAACGTGGGACACGAGCTGTTAAACAGGTAGTCATTTTAGCGTGACTTAACTCAAACACTTCTTCAATGTTATGCCCTATGACAGAATGTTACTGTTATAATAACTGTACTTACAAGTTATTAACTGTTTACATGACAGCAAACTTGTGGGGCTAAGAAAACATAGGAGAGTCACCAATGATCCAAAGATGTGTGACATCATTGGAATCAACTGGGAGGTGCACCAATCTGTGTTCACTTCGGTTCAACGTTTGCTATGTTGAGTGTCGGATTGTGTTGAACGACATTTCACAAAAACCGTGGAGCACACCCATACACCAAATATAAAGAACACACACAATCATCATGCCGTTCTTCAACTGGTCGTTCAGTACAGTACCGTTTCCGTCTAATTAAACGTTTAACACCGTTCTGTCGTACTGAATGCACCACAGTATTCTCAAATGTTGATTGGATCCAAAAAACATTGAGCTAACTAGCTACCATATTATTTGTACGCCGAGCCTTAGCTAAATAGGCTACTTGTTGTTTAATATAGGCCTACTACAATATAGGACGCCGCGCATCGTCCTTAATATGGCTGTTTACTTGTGTACTGTACTAATATTCAGTTGTGATAATGCCTGGTAGACGAGTTTAGCATACAAATAATGATTCACCAGGCACTGACAGCTAACTAGCAAGATTCATGGCAAGTTCGGATAGCTAGTTAGCTCAAAGTTCGTGGCTAACTAGCTAACGCGTTACAGATAGCCAGCCAGCTAGCTGCGCCACTTTACCAAAGATACTTTACCTTTTCCTCCTCGGCATGGACGGTGAAGGGCAAAAACCTCTTGCTCGGCTCAAAGTGATAATATATCAGTCCGCTTCCAACGACAGACCCCACAACGCCTGGTCCCAGGGCACGATGCAGCGTTCTGTACGACCAAGGTCTCCTCCAAAAGTTTCTCAAAACTCCAGCAACCCTGCCCCAGCTTGCCATTTTCCGTAAACTTCTTCTCCGTCTTCTTCTTTAGTGTCTACTTCTTCGATTAGGTTTAACAGCCGTTGGCATCCAATAAATGTTGCATTACCTCCACCTACTAGACTGGAGTATAACTCCTTTATACTTTGCTTGATAATTTGTTGTATATATATGATAAACAAATACCCTACCATCTAACCCTACAATCACTAAAAACCCACCACCCTACTCCACTATTTAAATATATTTAGTCCTACCTCAGGCCAACAGCCTGAAAGGATGGGACACCACCACTTAACACACCCTGTAACTCTTCTGGCATCAAGTCTTGCACACCCAAATACCTCTCTGCAGCTGCCACCACCACCTCAATGTTCTGTGATTTACGTTCCATCCCTGCAGTACAGTTGATAACCATTGCTATAAATGCAAAAAATCCAATCTTACTAAAACATACAGTGCCTTCGGAAAATACCCAGACCCCTTGACTTTTTCCACATTTTGTTATGTTACAGCCTTATTCTAAAACAGATTGAATTTTTTAAAAATCCTCAGCAATCTACATACAATACCCCATAATGACAAAGCAAAAACAGATTTTTAGAAAATTTTGCAAATGTATTAAAAATAAAAAACAGAAATACCTTATTTACATAAGTATTCAGACCCTTTGCTATGAGACTTGAAATTGAGCTCAGGTGCATCTTGTTTCCATTGATCATCCTTCAGATGTTTCTACGACTTGACTGGAGTCCACCTGTGGTAAATTCAATTGATTGGACATGATTTGGAAAGGCACACACGTCTATATAAGGTCCCACAGTTGACAGTGCATGTCAGAGCAAAAACCAAGCCATGAGGTCGAAGGAATTGTCCGTAGAGCTCCGAGACAGGATTGTGTCGAGGCACAGATCTAGGGAAGGGAAGTAAAACATGTCTGCAGCATTGAAGGTCCCCAAGAACACAGTGGCCTCCATCACTCTTAAATGGAAGAAGTATAGAACCACCAAGACTCTTCCTAGAGCAGGACGCCCGGTCAAACTGAGCAATCGGGGGAGAAGGGCCTTGGTCAGGGAGGTGACCAAGAACCCAATGGTCACTCTGGCAGAGCTCTAGAGTTCCTCTGTGGAGATGGGAGAACCTTCCAGAAGGACAACCATCTCTGCAGCACTCCACCAATTAGGCCTTCATGGTAGAGTGGCCAGACGGAAGCCACTCCTCAGTAAAAGGCACATGACAGCCCGCTTGGAGTTTGCCAAAAGGCACCTAAAGGACTCTCAGAGCATAAGAAACAATATTATCTGGTCTGATGAAACCAAGATTGAACTCTTTGGCCTGAATGCCAAGCGTCAAACCTGGCACCATCCCTACAGGGAAGCATGGTGGTGGCAGCATCATGCTGTGGGGATGTTTTTCAGCGGTAGGGACTGAGAGACTAGTCAGGATTGAGGAAAAGATTAACGGAGGAAAGTACAGAGAGATCGTTGATGATAACCTGCTCCAGAGCGCTCAGGACCTCAGACTGGGGTGACGGTTCACCTTCCAACAGGACAAAGACCCTAAGCACACAGCCAAGACAACGCAGGAGTGGCTTCAGGACAAGTCTCTGAATGTCCTTGAGTGATCCAGCCAGAGCCCAGACTTGAACCTGGGTTCCAGCAAAATTAAGGTAACTATACATTTAAAAAACATTACAATACATTCATAACAGATTTCAGAACATATGAAATGTGTGCCCTCAGACCTCTACTCTACTACCACATATCTATAACACAAAATCCATGTGTACATGTGTGTATAGTGCATATGTTATCGTGTGTTAGTATGCATATGTCTATGTTTGTGTTGCTTCACAGTCCCCACTGTTCCATAAGGTGTATTTTTATCTGTTTTTTTATTTTACTGCTGGCATGAGTTACTTGATGTGGAATAGAGTTCAATGTAGTCATGGCTCTATGTAGTACTGTCCGCCTCCCATAGTCTGTTCTGGACTTGGGGACTATGAAGAGACCTATGGTGGCATGTCTTGTGGGATATGCATGGGTGTCCGAGCTGTGTGCCAGTAGCTCAAACAGACAGCTTGGTGCATTCAACATGTCAATACCTCTCACAAATACAAGTAGTGATGAAGGCAATCTCTCCTCCACTTTGAGCCAGGAGAGATTGACATGCATATTATTAATGTTAGCTCTCTGTGTACATCCAAGGGCCAGCCGTGCTGCCCTGTTCTGAGCCAATTGCAATTTTCCTAAGTCTCTCTTTGTGGCACCTGACCACACGACTGAACAGTAGTCCAGGTGCGACAAAACTAGGGCCTGTAGGACCTGCCTTGTTGGTAGTGCTGTGAAGAAGGTAGAGCAGCGCTTTATTATAGACAGACTTCTCCCCATCCTAGCTACTGTTGTATCAATATATTTTGACCATGACAGTTTACAATGCAGGGTTACTCCAAGCAGTTTAGTCTCCTCAACTTGCTCAATTTCCACATTATTCATTACAAGATTTAGTTGAGGTTTAGGGTTTAGTGAATGATTTGTTCCAAATACAATGCTTTTAGTTTTTGAAATATTTAGGACTAACTTCTTCCGTGCCACCCATTCTGAAACTAATTGCAGCTCTTTGTTAAGTGTTGCTGTCATTTCAGTTGCTGTGGTAGCTGACGTGTATAGTGTTGAGTCATCCGCATACATAGACACACTGGCTTTACTCGTTAGTAAAGATATGAAAAAAGTATGTGACAGCTGCCCTGGGGAATTCCTGATTCTACCTGGATTACGTTGGCCAGGCTTCCATTAAAGAACACCCTCTGTGTTTGTAAAGTGCTGTGCTTGTTGAATGTCCTTCCCTATAAGCGTGCTGAAAGTCTGTTGTCAATTAGTTTACTGTAAAATAGCATTTTATCTGGTCAAACACCATTTTTTCCAAAAGTTTACTAAGGGTTGGTAACAGGCTGATTGGTCGGCTGTTTGAGCCAGTTAAGGGGGCTTTACTATTCTTAGGTAGGGGAATAACTTTTGCTTCCCTCCAGGCCTGAGGACACACTTTCAAGTAGGCTTAAATTGAAGATATGGCAAATAGGAGTGGCAATATGTCTACTATAATCCTCAGTAATCTTCCATCCATGTTGTCAGACCCCGGTGGTTTGTCATTGTTGATAGACAATAATACTTTTTTCACCTCTTCCACACTTACTTTACAGAATTCTAAATTACAATGCTTGTCTTTCATAATTTGGTCAGATATACTTGGATGTGTAGTGTCAGCGTTTGTTGCTGGCATGTCATGCCTAAATTTGCTAATCTTCCCAATAACAAAATAATTAAAGTAGTTGGCAATATCAGTGTGTTTTGTGATGAATGAGCCATCTGATGCAATGAATGATGGAGCGGAGCTTGCCTTTTTGCCCAACATTTCATTTAAGGTGCTCCAAAGCTTTTTACTTTCATTCTTTGTCATTATCTTTGTTTCATAGTGTAATTTATTCTTCTTTTCATTCTGTTTAGTCACATGATTTCTCAATTTGCAGTACGTTTGCCAATCGGTTGTATAGCCAGACCTATTTGCCATATCCCTCTCAACCTTACAATTTTTCAATTCCTCATCAATCCACGGGGATTTAACAGTTTTACAGTCATTTTCTTAATAGGTGCATACTTATTAGTAACTGGGATAAGCAATTTCATAAATTTGTCAAGTGCAGCGTCTGGTTGCTCGTCATTACACACCACGGACCAACACATATTCTTCACATCAACAACATAGGAATCACTACAAAACTTATTGCATGACCTCTTATACACAATATTAGGCCCAGCCTTTGGAACTTCGGTTTTCCTAAATACTGTTGAAGTCGGAAGTTTACATACACCTTAGCCAAATACATTCAAACTCAGATTGTCACAATTCCTGACATTTAATCCTAGTAGAAATTCCCTGTTTTAGGTCAGTTAGGATCACCACTTTATTTAAAAAATGTGAAATGTTAGAATAATAGTAGAGAATGATTTATTTAAGCTTTTATTTCTTTCATCACATTCCCAGTGGGTCAGAAGTGTACATACACTTCCACACATAGCCTTCCACAAGCTTCCCACAATGTTGGGTGAATTTTGGCCCATTCCTCCTGACAGAGCTGGTGTAACTGAGTCAGTTTGTAGGCCACCTTGCTCGCACACGCTTTTTCAGTTCTGCCCACAAATCTTCTATAGGATTGAGGTCAGGGCTTTGTGATGGCCACTCCAATATTTTGACTTTATTGTCCTTAAGCCATTTTGCCACAACTTTGGAAGTATGCTTGGGGTCATTGTCCATTTGGAAGACCCATTTGCGATCAAGCTTTAACTTCCTGACTGATGTCTTGAGATGTTGCTTCAATATATCCACATAATTTTCCTTCCTCATGATGCCATCTATTTTGTGAAGTGCACCAGTCCCTCCTGCAACAAAGCACCCCCACAGCATGATGCTGCCACCCCGTGCTTCACGTTTGGTATGGTGTTCTTCGGCATTCAAGCCACCCCCTTTTTCCTCCAAACATAACGATGGTCATTATGGGCAAACAGTTCTATTTTGAATATACAGTGCCTTCAGAAAGTATTCATACCCATTGACATTTTAACATGGATTAAATATTATTTTTTCTCACCCATCTACACACAATACCCCATAATTACAGTGATTTTGTTGTTGTTGAGGTTTTTGCACATTTATTGAAAATTAAATACATAAATATTATATTTACATACTGTAAGTATTCAGACCTTGAGTCAATACAGTGTACTGACATGTTAGAATCACCTTTGGCAGCGATTACAGCTGTGAGTCTTTCTGGGTAAATCTCCAAGAGCTTTGCACACCTGGATTGTACAATATTTGTAGATTATTATTTTTTAAATCCTTCAAGCTCTGTCAAGTTGTTGATCATTGCTAGACAGCAGTGGTGGAAAAAGTACCAAATTGTACCCAATTGTCATAAAAGTAAAGATACCGTAATAGAAAATGACTCAAGTAAAAGTGAAAGTCACCCAGTAAAATCCTACTTGAATAAAAGTCTAAAAGTATTTGGTTTTAAATATACTTAAGTATCAAAACTAAATGTAATTTCTA